GGGCAGAAAAAGCTACTCAAGGAAGGCTTTTTCAAAATCTCCCTTTTCAATGGAACTTTACCCCTATATTAGTGTTAGGGGTGTGCACCAGGGTAGGGTTAGGGTTGGGAAAACGAGGTGTCCTGGCATGATTCTAATGGTTGGAGTGTGTTTAGAAGGGGCAGATAGGATGAGCTGGACAGAAAAAGCTGCTCAAGGAAGGCTTTTTCAAAATCACCCCCTTTCCAATGGAACTTTATCCCTATATTAAGGTGAGGGGCAGTTAGTAAAGCTAAAAATACAGTTCTTAAAAATAGAGGGGGCGGGGCAAGCAGCCCATCCTTCCCGGCGACAGTTTGGCGCAGTGTAAAGGCAATGTGTTCACGGGCTCACATGGCCTGCGAATGGCGCAACCTGCAGAACCAAAGCCCAGCTCAGAGTCCGGTGAAGCGTAGGCACCCCCGGCGCCTGTTCATCTGGGATGTTGAGCCAAGGAAAGAATGAAGGGCTGTGTGATCAGTTTTGTGAGGGACTCCTTCACAGTGAGTCTATCGAAACCAGTTGGCAGCTCCGTGAAAGAGCTGGCGCCCTGCGGCAAACCAGAGCCCAAGACACGCACATGTGCTGGAGGCCGCTTCATCCGCACTTCACGTCCCAACAATGATACTTTAAGTATCTAATAAAGTAACCTCTGGCCCATGACAACCCATCGGAAATTTAATCTTGACATTGTCACCGGATACTGTTTCTGCAGCACGAACAGCAGCTAAGACTTTAGCCAGCCTCTATTTCTCTCTCTGCAGCTGCAGTTTGCGGGTCAAGCGGCCTTCCTGCTGTGCTTCAATTTTAGACTTGCACATCAGTGTAATGGTGCTACTAGAGATGTGAAGACGCTGTTTCCCCCTCTCCCGCAACGTATTTTTTAATTTTAATTGAACAGTTTTGGATTTTGAAAGATATATTGCTCCCCAACGTATATTCCCCTTAAAAGTTCTAAAAACCCTGTAATTAGAACACGTTTATGGAAAGTTTAGAGCTGTAACGTGTCTAAACACAAAGAAGCCATGGGAAAAAATATTTTCATTTCGGGAGTTCTTTATAAGATTCCTAACCACTTCTAGGAAGAGTCAAATGTTTTCCCCTACAATGGCTTCACGTCCCCAAACCTTAATCTTGCACCTGAAGCTCATGCTTATGTTTTGTTCAAGCTTGTAACTGAATCACGGCTCACACAGGACCATCCTATCTTAACTGAGTGGGAGGAAACATACTAGAAGTACAAAGTTAACAGCTTGAATTGGAAGTGCAGGAAAAACAGACTGTCCATAAATTATTTTTGTATTAAAAAAACACTGCAAATGGGAATGTACTTTAAAGGGATTTTTAAATTTTACATTGCAAATGCAAGGGAACTTAAATATGCATATTCTAGTATTGCTCAGTACTGGAATCCAACATGCACTTACTCTGGGGTACGACTCACTATTGAATAGTCACTTACAGGATTGTGCTATTTAAAACTTGCACGCGGTCCTATATAGAAAAGTATGTGCTGAGAAGCAAACATTGGTGTTCAGAGATTACAGAATTGCTTGGAAAAGGGGCTCAGATTCTCTGCTAGTTGTTCATGGTTTTGAAAATACCCTCTGAAGCCTAGCCTGGCTTCCCGGCAGTAGAAACACGGTTAGCTGAACAATAATTAAACTCTTCCCTGAGGTGTAGTGCTTCTGAGCAGAAATTTCATTAACTCTGACTATGAAACTTCATTAACTCGCCCAGGTCCTTCATTCCCCACTTTTGAATCTCGGGATTTCACAGAGAGAAGACGCGCTTCCTGAGGTCAAACGCGGTGGCAGCCCCCTGCGTACAGAAGGGACCCTCTCCCTTGTGCTCTGCCCTCCTTTCGACACCCGGTTCAGGATTTTTTCTAATTCCAGGTACTTGGCAATGTAAGTGTTCAACTGGTTCTGGGATTTTTATTGTTAATTCTTATAAGCTGTGCACGTAAATGTTTTTTGTGCCATGTTTCAGGTGCTATTTTACAGTCCTCTTTTTTTGTAAACTGGCTATTGGGCAGTACGGAAATCTATTTTTTTTAATGAATAAATACATTTTCAGAGAGCCGTGGGGGAAAACCTCTATTGCTACTTATGGTCCAAAACAGAGCATAAAGGCACATTAGCCACTTAAATACGCAGTCCTGAAATGCCACATGGTCCGCATGGCGCGCACACGTAATTTGAAACCTGGCAGGACTGAATGCCAGGAATCTGCTGCCTGATTCCTTCCCCAACCCAAATTCAGAAGTCCGTCCTGTTCCTAGCCACAGTTGCTGCCGATTTACAAATGCCGACTTGACTATCTGCAAAACCGGTGCGGCTGCCAATATGGGCAATGGAAACGACTGAGCGCCGGAGCCACAGCTCCCCTGCACCTTCCGCGTTGTACACACAGAGTGCAAAAGCGCCATTCGCACACTGCCGGCAGTCGCCTTGTTTCCAAGCCCAGGGTAATCAAGGCCATTTTATCTCCAGAGCTCACCGGAGCGCAGCAGAACTGTGCCTGAAGGCCGTTCGACCCGAGTGGCTCCATCGCAGCGGGACCCCGATGCCGCCCGCCCGTGATGCATGTTTGCCTCTGAACCCGGAGGCACCCATCCGTCCAGATCGGCCAGGTGGTGCAGCGGTGGCCTTTCCCCCACCCCACCTTTATTTCAACTGGACGGCTGGCTGTGGCTGCCGACAGCAAGCACAGCAGAGTGGGGAAGAAGTCCGGACACGGCGAGAGCCACTGTCCGCCCACGCCCGGAACACCCCTTGGGCTGGGGAGACCCTCTCCAAACCGGCAACGAGGGGCGCAGGCCAAGGGCTCCGCCGCAGGAGGACCTCAGTGGACCTTGGAGCTGGACGCTGGATTGTCCCAGGCCCCGCGAGACAGCATGGGGCACGCACGGGAGCCGTGCGCTTTGCACATCTGGACTGGCCAGGCGCAATCACCTTTTGACCGGCATACAGATACGCACCTTGCCAAAATGTCGATAAAGCTCCACTGAGATAATACGCATTAAACTTTTTCAACGCAGCAGTTCAGTGTGGTCTTGCTCATTGTCGGAAAGAAGGGGCAACTTCAATATATTTTAAATGCCTATTAACGCATCAGAATCAAAGTGTTTGTTATTTTTAAAGGGTTTGCCTCAGCCTAAGCACCAATTAAAGACTGGCTGTGCCATATACTAGGACTTTAGTCTACTAATTAAACTGATTAACTCCTGCAGCCCTAGGCAAGTTGCTGACAAACGCAAAACGGAAGGAGGAGCGACCATTATCTCCCAGTGTGCAGGCCCATGCTCACGACATGAGCTGCCGCATTCCCCGATAATGTCATGAAGTCATGAGGAGTCTTCAACTGCACAGCCATATTTCTTGCACTTTAATCAAGATCACGCTTTGGGCATAAAGCAGATGTGCAATTAACCATCGGTGCAACAGGACCAGCACGAGCCTCAAACTGCTCTCTTCTGTGCAGGTTGCCTGGGCCTTGTTTTGCTGGTGAACTAAGCAATGCAAATTCCCTCTTCAGAAGCACATTGCATTTGAGACTCCATGGGGCAGACCTAACACTTAAAACAGTGTTAGGAGGCAGGGGATGCAATATTTAGCATGTAAGTTGTAGAGTATGTTCCGCAGGATCCTGCTATGCTTAGAATGCCAATGAATCAGGAGACTGTAGGATGGGGAAGGCTGCTGTTGAAATGGCTGCCCATTTGTGAGCCCGTTCTAGTGAATGTTTTTAAGACAATAAAAAAACAGAACCAAAAGAACTTGTAAAAGGTGAAAAAATGTTCCAGAAGGGGGAAGGCTGGGTAAATGCTTTCATGGATTCTCAAGGAGAAATCAAATCACTGCCAAGCACAGCTCACTTCAGCAAGACGAACTGGCTTCCCCTGATATCAGCCCTTAGAAGAATATCGTAAGCCTGAGTAAAACTGAACTGTTTCCACAGGGTGTTGACTGCACAAATAATTTACACCTGGATGTACCCACTCCGAGTATGGATTTGCACAGAGGTTTCCACACACACACACACACACACACACACACACACACACACACACAGAGAG